GAGGTTGCTGTGAGCTGTGATGCCACAGCACTCTACCCAGGGCAACAGCTTGAGGCTCTGTCTCAAAATAAATAAATAAATAAAGTCTCTTAGTAGACAAATGAATATGCTCAGCCAAAATATGGATTTATATTATACATTCTAGGCACAATACATCCATCCTAAACATGTATTACCAAGTGTGAACAGTAATAGTTTACTTCCCCTTAAGAAGGGAGAAGGTTGGCTCAGCGCCTGTGGCTCAAGTGGCTAAGGCGCCAGCCACATACCTAAGGTGGTGGGTTCAAATCCAGCCCCAGGCCTGCCAAATGACAATGACGGCTGCAACCAAAAAATAGCTGGACATTGTTCCGGGCTCCTGTGGTCCCAGCTACTTGGGAGGCTGAGGCAGGAGACTCGCTTGAGCCCAGGAATTGGAGATTGCTTTGAGCTGTGATGCCATGGCACTCTACCCAAAGGGACAGCTTGAGGCTCTGTCTCAAAAAAAAAATTAAAAAAGAAGGGAGAAGGCTGGGTGGCACCAGTGGCTCAGTGAGTAGGGCCGGCCCCATATACCATGGTTGTGGGTTCAAAGCCAGCCCCGACCAAACTTCAAAAAAAAAAAAATAGCTGGGCATTGTGGCGGACACCTGTAGTCCCAGCTACTTGGGAGGCTGAAGCAAGAGAATCACCTAGGCCCAGGAATTGGAGGTTGCTGTGAGCTGTGACACCACAGTACTCTACTGAGGGCAATGAAGTAAGACTCTGTCTCTAAAAAAAAAAGAAGGGAGAAGGCTTAGAGAGGAAAGGGAATAAAAGACAAGTGTTTTTCCAGGTTTTTTGTTTGTTTTGTTTTGTTTTTTTGGAGACAGAGTCTCACTCTGTCACCCTGGGACGAGCTGACAGTGGTGTCATCATAGGTCACAGCAACCTCAGTCTCTTGGGCTCAAGAGATCCTCGTGCTTCAGCATCCCAACCCACAGGGAGTACAGATGCCTGCCAAGATGCTCAGCTAAGTTTTGTTTGTTTGTTTGTTTTTCTATTTTTTTTTATATAGACAGAGTCTCACTTTATTGCCCTCCGTAGAGTCACACAGCTCACAGCAACCTCCAATTCCTGGGCTTAGGTGATTCTTCTGCCTCAGCCTCCCAAGAAGCTGAGACTACAGGCGTCCACCACAACACCACAACACTCAGCTATTTTATTTATTTATTTATTTATTTATTGCATTTTTTGACTAAGGCTGGGTTCAAACCGGCCACCTCTGGTATATGGGGCTGGCGCCTTACTCCTTGAGCCACAGGCACCACCCTCAGCTATTTTTTTTGAACCTGCCACCCTCAGTATATGGAGCCAGCACGCTACCAGCTGAGCCACTGGCGCCGCCCTGTTTGTCTATTTTTAGTAGAGACAGGGTCTTGCTCTTGCTCAGACTGGCCTTGAACTCCTGAGTTCAGGCAATCATCCCAACTTGGCCTCCCAGAGTGCTAGGATTACAGGCTTGAGCCACCATGCCCCACCAATATTTCCAACTCTTAGGGTTTATCATCTAATTACATATAATCTAACTCTAAAAGAGTTTAGCTTATAGGATGGGCATGGTGACTAACGCCTGTAATCCTAGCACTCTGTGAGGTTGAGACAGGAAGACCACTTAGGCCCCGGCCTTTGAGGTTCCTGTGAGCTAGGCTGATGCCAATGACATGATAGCCTGGACAACAGAGTGGGGTGGGACTCTGTCTCAAAATCAGTCAGTCAATCTAGTTTATAAACCAAACAGCATATCCTTACAATATTAGCCTTATTTACAATTTAATATTACTCTTTTATTTGTTACTTTTTTTTTTTTGAGACAGTCTCACTTCACTGTACTTGGTAGAGTGCCATGGCGTCACAGCTGACAGCAACCTCCTACTCTTGGGCTGAAGCAATTCTCTTGCTCAGCCTCCCAAGTAGCTGGGACTACAGGTGCCTGCCACAATGCCCAGCTATTTTTAGAGTGGGGGGGTCTTGCTTTTGCTCAGGCTAGTCTCTAACCCGTGACCTCAGGCAATCCATCTGCTTCAGCTTCTGACAGCCTCCATACAGAATTTTTAAAAGCTTAATTAAAGCAGAGATGCAGTGTGTTCTTTTGCATTATGTCATTTCTCTATTAAAGATTTTAACAGTTGTTACTAGTAAGGCCGGACGCAATGGCTCACGCCTGTAATCCTAGCACTCTGGAAGGCGTAGGCAGGTGGAATGCCTGAGCTCCCAGGTTGGAGACCAGCGTGAGCCAGAGTGAGACCTTATCACTAAAAATAGCCAGTCGGGTGTTGTGACGGGCACCTGTAGTCCCAGCTACTCTGGAGGCTGAGGCAAGAGACTTGCTTGAGCTCAAGAGTTTGAGGTTGCTGTGAGCTGTGATGCCACAGCATTCTACCGGCGAAATAGAGAGATTCTGTCTCTAAAAAAAAAAGAATAACTAAAACAAAGTAAAGGTTTTTTTGTTTTTGTTTTTTGGTAGAGACAGTTTCACTTTATCGTCCACAGTAGTGCCGTGGTGTAACACAGCTCACAGCAACCTCCAACTCCTGGGCTTAGGTGAATCTCTTGCCTCA